CCACATAACTATGGTAAATAACAAGAATCTACTGTACATTTTCCATGGAGCTCAAGGCAGTTTTCATTTTGAATGGAGGAAAAATGTGATGCACACTTCCTCCCTGAATAGGCTGTTCTGTAAAAGGTATAACCCACTTCGGCTTTATAGCAAACACTCTTACCACTGTTACCAAGACAGGTACCACCAAGTTTCCCTGGCCTAGGGAAGTACCCGCAGGACGTCTGGGTGTGTCTGGGGAGTACTTTCGTTCCAGAATACAGGTCTTCAAGTAGCATTGGACCTGACACAATAACATCCTTCCTCTTACTTGATGGGATCTAACATACTGGAATTTAGTAAGTGGCATTTTCCTTTTGTTCGTATGCATCCTGTAGCGCAGTGATGATGACGACAGAAGCAGTGACCGGAAAGATGGGGCTCTTGAGGAGCAAATAGAAAGGCTGCAGGAAAAAGTAGAATCTGCTCAGAGTGAACAGAAGAATCTCTTCCTTGTTATATTTCAGGTATGTTGGTTTGGGACACTGATAGGTAGAGATGCAATATATTTTTTAGGTTTGAAAAAGGTTATCTTTATAATACATGCTCATGTATAAAAGTTTAAGTTAAAAAATTTGCAAAGGAAATAAAAGTTCACTACTTGAAGGTAACCATGTGGGCCTCCACAGTCTGTATCTTTTACATAACATTCTTACGTGACCATTTCTCCATGCTTTAAAAAAAAAATTTGAGGATACTTTTGTGAAGTACCTCACATTTCCAGTTCATCATTTAGATATTTTCCTTCCTGGTGAACATTATTTAGTTATGTCCTTAGAAATAGATGTGGAGAAAAATTACATGCAATTTAATTACCTAGTGATCTATTAAAGGTGTTCATATATTGAAAAAAAGGATATACTGGGGCACCTGGGTGGCTCAGTCGGTTAAGCGTCCTACTTCAGCTCAGGTCATGAGCTCACGGTTCGTGGGTTCGAGCCCCATGTGGGGCTCTGTGCTGACAGCTAGCTCGGAGCTGGTCTTCAGATTCTGTGTCTCCCTCTCTGACCCTTCCCTGCTCACGCTGTCTTCTCTCTCAAAAATAAATAAAACATGGGGCGCCTGGGTGGCATAGTTGGTTAAGCGTCTGACTTTCGCTCGGGTCATGATCTCGTGGTTCGTGGGTTCGAGCCCCGCGTCGGGCTCTGTGCTGACTGCCAGCTCAGAGCCTGGAGCCTGTTTCAGTCTGTGACTCCCTCTCTCTCTGACCCTCCCCTGCTCACGCTGTCTCTCTCTCTCTCTCCTAGAAATAAATAAAACATTTAAAAAAAAAAAAAACAAAATATATTTTAAAAAAATAAATAAATAAATAAATAAAACATTTAAAGAAAAAAGGATATACTAATGTTATCACTTGTCTACCGATTTCTAGACAATTTTTATTGACTTAACAAAAGTTAGCAGTACACACCACAAAAACCAAGTGGAACAAGCAATGCCTTTTGAGGTCTCTTGGTCAAAAAGTGTGATTGTTTCTCAAGTATAAGAATTCTCCCTCTAACACTGCTTTAACTTTATACCTACCCCCTTTCTAGCGTTTTATCATGATCTTGACCGAGCACTTAGTACGATGTGAAACCGATGGGACCAGCGTATTAACACCATGGTATAAGAACTGTATAGAGCGGCTCCAGCAGATCTTCTTACAGGTTTGTGGGAAACCCTGATCATTAGATAATAAACATCACTCTTCTCAGCCACAAGGACTTTCCACTTAAAAAAATGGTCAGATCTGTCGGCAAGTCTTATAGTACCTGTAATGCCCTTCTGATGTCCATTCGTTCCTATGGCTCTGCAGAATATTCAGGGTTCAGTTGGTTCTATATGTAATTCAGACTCCTAATTGCCATTCTGTAGTCCTATAGGGATCTCCGTATATACAAGTCATCCAGGCACGCATACAGAAGACATGATTTTGTGACACTTTTTCTTCCCACATAGCCTCAAGTCCCTGATTTTCAGGGAGACAGAGGATCTATTTAAGGTTTGGGTTTCTTATGTTGTGGAATACTTAGAGAATTAGCCAATGACCTGTTAAATATTTTTCTTTCACAAAAAGATATTTTAAGTGTTCTAACCAATAAAAGCAAAAGAAATTTTATTGCAAAATATTTGTTTGAGCAAACCATCGTTCTGGGTTGCTTTCCAGGGTGGTAGTTAATCCTCCCGGGTCAGTCCCTGTCTGGGCTCCTTTACAAAGTCCTGTCTTTTGTGCTAATTCGTAGAGAGCCAGCTGAACCTAGTCTGCAGCACGGTGCGCTCCTGCCAGCACCTGGAAGCATGAATTACATTTACGTAAAAAATTCAATGCTGACCAGTTTCTAAGTTATTGAACATTCCTTTCTCTTCATTTCCCTCTACATTTGCTGAATGTTGGACCTTTTCAGGAGCCCATTCTTCCTATCAAGCATAACCACTTTTATCCCCAACCTCTTCCCATCATTCCACAACGTGGGCAGGCCACTGAGGGAACTATTCTGCAAGATTGCTTATGCGGTCTTTTTCCTGACCTGAACACCCCCTTTTTTATGTCCACAGCATCACCAAATAATCCAGCAGTACATGGTGACCCTGGAGAACCTGCTCTTCACCGCTGAATTAGACCCTCACATCCTGGCTGTGTTCCAGCAGTTCTGTGCCCTGCAGGCCTAAGGGTCATTTTATTCCCCTGTCAATATTTTTTAAAAATATCTCAAATGATTTGTCTTATTTTTGATGGTTTGAATGCTTGCTTTCTTGTAGCACCCTTTCACTTATTAAAGGGGGGGAGGGAGGAGGACAGTGAAGAATAGAGCATTGATTACCTTTAATTGGCCCTACAAGGCAGGAATACTCCCTACTGACAATGTGACAATGACCATAGGATGTATTATATCTGTGACAGATACAAGTTTTCTGGTATTTTTTCCTCCTTAATGCACAAAAGCAGCAATTTGAGGTATGTGAACACTAGGGGTCCGGCTTACAAAGTAGCATATAGAGCTGGTGGGTTTACTATCAAGTAGCATAGCTTGTCACAGCTCATGGATAACCTAACATGGCTGAAATAAAACTAAAAATGTTTTTTTTTTAACTTTGGTATTTCATGATTTATCATCTCAGTCTACTTTAAAATTGGTGGTTCCTTCCTAAAGGTGTGCTTCCCTCATTTGGAATTCTCTTTTCAAATCTTAAGTAGTGCTTTAAAATATTACACACTAATAATATTAAATATTGTTATTTACCAAATTTGTTTGAATATAAGTCACCTGAGAGTCTTTAGAAGTTATTTTCTAAATTAAACCACAATCTGCTGGGGGTGCTGGGGGCAGAGACAGGTGGTTGCCAGTGTGCAGACAAATTTGGGAACCATTACCTTAGAGCCAGCTGGTCATTTCCTCTCTTCTCTGAGACCGATTTGTCCAAGGTCCAACTGTGAAGTACATGCTAAAGTGGAAATAGAAGTAGCTAGTTTGGAGTGGCTAAAACTGTACTGTAGGTTTGGACTTTGTTTCTATAGAACTTAGTCCAAGGAATTACTCATTTTTGAGCCAGTTTCTTACATAGTATTAAAGCTTAACTTGGAGGAGGGCACTTGTTGGGATGAGCACTGGGTGTTATATGGAAACCAACAACTTGACAGTAAACTAAGAAAAAAATAAAGCTTAACGAAGATGAGTACACATATAAAATATGCAAATATAAGGGTTTATCTGCAATTCCAAATTCTGGCCTTTTAATAAGACTTCATTAAACCTGAGGAAAAATTTATCAACATCCCCATAACTGATAAGTAATTTGCTTGTACAACATAAGTACCTTTCACTTATTACATCATAAATTTATATTATTTCATATTGCTATATGGTCTCTTTGGGGTACCCTACATTTGGTGGCTACAGTATTAAGGGTGCATGGCAAGATACTAGCAGAAAGAGGACTAAAACCCAGATCCCTGGCTAAGTATCCATTTGGTTATACGGTTCCTCCTTCCCACAAACAGTATTCAGTTAAACATGGCTCTTCTCTAGAAGCCAAAACGATAACCATTTAAGGCTTTGGGAACTCTGACCCTAAACTGCTTTTGTAACTCTTTCACAATGTATTACAGAGTTTGGCTAATTCTACTTGCTTGACCCAAATTCTAGAGGAATTTCTTGGATCCTCTCTTCATGTCAAGAATGATGGATGTTTGGCAGCTCAGTTTAGGGAAAACAAGTTGAATTTCAAAAAATAAAGGTGTAAGAACAAAAACATAAGTTGCATGAAGCTCTACAAAAGAATGGCATGTCACCACCGTGCAAACAAATCAGTGTACTATTAAATATTCTATCAATGCCATTTAATATTTCTTTTGTCAAAGTGAACACATACTTTGTTTTCCTTGATTCTAAATCTCCGGAGCTTCCAGGAATTATTCAGGCAGCAGTTCATACCAAGTATGTTTTCCTGCTCTTCCTAGAAAGTACTTAGTAGTTCGCTGTAAAATTGACTAGTCTGTAGTTATACCTGGAAATGAAAGATGAGGAAGGACTTACCAACCTGAGTAGAGCAGATTGGGCTGCCCACATTACTTGGATATCGGGATTATCTTAAAAGTGATGACAGAGTGGACAGAAGCTAGAAACTAGACAAATCGGGAACAATATACTGGTCTTGATGAAAACGTGCTCATCAACAAGTGGCTGTTAGATGCCGTGTGCTACAGAGTTGCCATATGTAATCCTTACGGCAGTCCTGAGAGAGGATCGCTTACCAAGGCCCACCGCTAAAAAATGGAATTGGAACAAGGGCTCTATGCCTCCCATGCAGTAATGCTGCTGTCAGCTGCCTGGACCCCTCAGCACTCTGGTCATCAAGCTGGAAGCTTTCTCATGGTCCCAGGAAGGTCTTGCTGCCCACTGTCCATCAGTTTTTACTGAATGAATAATTAGCATGGCACGTTAAAAAAAAAAAAAAACAAAAAACAAACACTTGACCAATACATTGTTTATATTTACATATATTAAACATTTCTACATTGAATACCTGTATAGAGAACAATTAGTAATTACAGTCTTAAGCCTATTTGGGTTGGACCTGTTCAGACTTGCCTTTCTTCAAGCATAATCTGCATGATCTGATCTAGAAAGGAAAATGAAAACATAAACATGCTATTTCTTCTGTTTGTAGCAACAGGACTAAAAAAGCCAGGTCACAGAAACGCTTTGAAAATATGAGGTCTGTCTTAATTGAATGGTTTTGTAAAGGGGGGGGGGGGGGAGCACAAACCCTGTAATGCACATTTGGATCAAATCTTCTTAGCTATAACTACCCTGGTAAGCCTTTTGATAAGACCGGGGCAGAACTAAATAAACTTGATCCAGATGTCCGGGTTGATGGTGGGTTATAGGCAATCGCCTCCTTCAGAAGTGCTAAACACACACAGAAGCTGTCTTCCCTCCGGATTACAGGAGAAAACCTGTAAGCCACTAGGCATCCCTGCCCGGCCCATGGGAAATGCTCAGTAGTGTTAGCAAGTTACAATAAACTTACTAACAGTACCTTCTTTGATCAGTAAGACAATATGGCTGTTTTTCCATTTGAGCCTAGATTTGAAAAGGGCTACCTAGACACGGGCATTAAGGCCTATGGTGGTAAATAACCAAGGATACAGGAAACATGATCAGACTCCCACAACTCACTTCCTGCTGGGAATCAGGACTCGTCCAACAACAGCTCCCGGGCTCCCTCATGTGAAGACAAAGGGTCTAGAAGACCCAGCCCACCACGGATTCAGGATCTACCGCTGCCCCTGTTGTCTCCCAGGAGAAGGATCCTGTTCAGCCAGCTTCTGCCATTACTCAAAGGTCTTCCTCCTATTCCAATCTAGGGTTTGGCTTGGCTTGTTATTTCTCAATTTTGGCTCTAACCTAACTTCTGAATCTACTCCACCCCTTGGCTCCCATCCCTGCTGTAGAAAAAAGCAATCAGACCCAGTATTTTGCCCACAACCAGACCTGCTGGACCGTAACTGAAACTTGCTTTTAAGCCACAGCATACAGATTGCTCCCTGAAGCATGGTTACGTGAGCGTTCCATTCATCCGTGGCAATGGTACACTTAACTAGTCACATTTTCTCATAGGTCAGCTCATGGCCACACACGGTGCAAGTCTTCCGGTATACATCCTCCTCCAGGCTTTCTTCTGGTCCGTACTCATGCTGATGAGCAACTGTTTCCCTTTTCCACACGCTGCTTCTCACCGCCCGCCGTAATTCTAAGAAAATAAAAGCCAGTTTTTCAGTGATACTATTCAGCTGAAGCCCAAAATCCATCAGGGGGTGTGTGTAAACCAAATATGGTTTAATTTTATAACAAAACTGATTCCAGAACCATGGCAAGCTTGGCCTGTGAAATCACTCATCATCAGAGCATGTGAAATGGGAGACAGAGAAATGGGGTAAGTGGGTTAGAGGGACAGCAAAACACAAATTTAGAAGGTGAATAGAAACAAGATCATAAAAGAATGGGGTTTGTTCAAGCAGCTAAGGAAAATGCCACCACAGCAGGAAAGGGGTGTCAGCTGGGACAACTCAGGGCAAAGAGAACTTCTAAGTTCCGTATGTCAGGAGCTATTTCTGTGAGAGGCAGGTCAGGTTATGTCTGATAACTAGAAAGCCAAGAACTCTCAGCAAAACTGTGCACCCGACCTAGAGTCCATTCAGTTCTTTATCCTATAAAATGAGAGCCATACTTTAGAAGAGGGACTGCCAATTCTTGCACTCTTGTATCACCTAAATATAAGAATCAGAGACAGTAAGAGCTGGAAAGAACCGTAGTTTTTATTTTACCTCCCTTTATTTTGCAGGTAGGGAAAGAGCACAAAGACAGCGTATGAACCCAAGTCCTTTATTCCAATGTTGAGAATGTTTTCCACTGCATCATGTGAAAATGTCATTTTTAAAAAACTGGATGCTTTGAAAAGCAACTAAGCCTATTACATTTTAAAAGCTCACACTGCATTACCTGAAGAACCCAAATGCTTAGTGTTAACTGGGAATTAAGCTAGTAACTTCTCAGTTTCCAAATTAATGAATACTAAGCAGCCGGTTTATATTATTCTGTTCTGACCAGTGACCCATCAAGCCCAGCGCTGCTGCTGACAGGGGCACTACCTAAGGAAGAGTAAGTTACATAATCTCAACCATAAAAATCACTGACACCAAGTAATCGCGTTTTCTTTCATCCCTTTTAGATTTATGATACACAGCATCTAAGTACTTGCATCTTTGTAATTCAGCCTTCACTGTATCAGAAGGAAAAGAAACACAGGACTATGTATCAGGCACTGCTCTAAGCACTTAGTCTATAAACACATTGAATCCTCACAACCCTTTTAGAGAAGTACAACTATCCTCCCCGTTTCAACAGCTGAGAAAACCGAGGACCAAAGAAGTTACAGATGTTGTGCCTCAGGTCAACCACTGGTCAATGGCAAAGGTGTCTTCGTGTTATTAACCACTACGTGGTGCTGCCTCTCACACCTCCAGGAGGAGAAGCACTGTATCTCCCACCATTACTGTCAAGCTTCTGTGTGCACACCTCTAGACATTTTCCAAACTACAGGGAAAATGTGTTCATCTGAACAACCTCTTTTCCTATGGTCTCTCACTCTGAAGAACGCACATTTTTCTAAACATATCTGCCCTGGCCTTTTATTATTCTATTTTACCCTCGGGCATTTTCTAAATACAAAATGAAATCATGTGCTGACCAGCACAGATGCCTCACGGCTTCAGATGACAGGAAAAGATCTCCTGTTTGAGTTCTAATACCTACTTTCCAACTTTGCTCTGATAAAAGGTGTCCCAGCCACTCTCCCTCTACTGCCCCACTGAGAAACACACTCAAAACCTGACCCCATCTCAGTCACTGCTAAGCTAACCTCTGCCTACTTTGAACATTACATGAACTCAGGAAGAAATTGCTTAATGCTAAAAAAAATACTTAACAAAATCTAGTTTACTGTCCATAATTGGTCATAGATGAACATAGGTTTTTACTGACTTCATGGCTTTTTCTTTCCATCCTTCAGCTAGTCATCAAAAATAATGACAAGAAACAAAGGTGAATCTTTAGTATTTACTAGACATTTCCTGGGAAAATGGTATCATTTTTGATGATATGCTTATCATTTTCTTGCCTTCTTTCACTTCCTGAACAATCTGGTCCTAAAGTCATTCAGTGAAGCAAGGAAGGCAGGTATCTGTGGTAGGGCAGACGGAGCCCACGAAAGGGAAGAAGGATCTCCCTACAGCGGGGACAGTGACACAAATGGGTATCAAATAACTACAGTAAGGATAATGGGAATCAGGTTCTCACGGTCAGAGAAGGGAGTTACAAATAAGAAACCTAGGATGAACCCTAAAATTCTGGATTAGAACTGGCTCTAGCAGTGAACTGAGGGTGTTAATTTATAATATATATGGGCAGACATAAAAATATAGATATACACACGTGCTAGAATCTCTGACAAATGATTAGACACGACAAAAGAACACAGGAGCTAGCTTGAAGAGACTCCTACTGGCCCAAACCTGAGACAATTTGACACCAAAATAAGGACAGGAACAGATGAATCCATACAATAATGAATAAAGGACAGAAGGGATGCTGTAGCATGTAGACGTCTGACCTGTTAACTGTGAAGACAGCCGTGAAGTTAGAAACCCATTTGTGCGAAGAGTGTACTGTGCTTCAGACAAGAACCATCCATGGATGGAGGCTACCTGTCTGGGGAGGTGTTGAGAAGCAGGGCATTGGTTCACTTTTTTTTTGTTTGTTTGTTTATCAAGGGCAGACGGACATCTGTCCCCAGATGTGCTGCTATCTAACAAATATGTCCTTTATGTACTATCTCCAGTCTGAAATGCATAACCTGAAGCCAACCATCGGGAAACATCAGAAAAGCCCCAAATGAAAAACATTTCTAAAAAGGCAAGATGGGGAAGTGAATAGACTTCTTCAAAAATGTCAATGTCAAAAGAGATAGAGGCTGTGGAAATATTCCAGAATAAAGAAATATAGAAAGACTTGGTACCTCAAGCCAATCCCTGATCCTAGACTAGATCCTGTACTATAATGAAAAACTACACAGACATTACTAGGTAAACAAATTTAGAATATGGATGACAAATTAGATCAAAATATCACTACTGTACTTTGGTCTTATAAGAGAACACTGCTCTTCTTAGTAAACACACGCTGCAGTCCTAGGGCAAAGGGCGATGATACACAACCCACTCTCAAATGGTTCCAAAAAGAACATGTGTCATGTGCACAAGTACAAATCGTGCATTAACAATAGATCAATCTGATAATGTTTATTTTTGAGAGAAAGAGAGCATGAGCGGGGGAGGGGCAGAGAGAGAGGGAGACCTAGAGCCTGAAGCAGGCTCCAGGCTCCGAGCTGGACACAGAGCCCAACACGGGCTCAAACCCATGAACCGTGAGATCATGACCTGAGCCGAAGTTGGACGCTTAACCGACTGAGCCACCCAGGCGCCCCAACAATATATCAATTTGGGTAAAGGATACATGGATGTCCTTAACTATACTTATCTTTGCAATTTTATGGAAGGTTTGAACTTCATTCCAAATTAAAACATAAAAAGTCAGGAGCTAGCTTGAAGAGGCCAAATTTGAGACCATTTGAGCTTCAAAAGGAATCACAGCTATGGCCTATAGCACTGATTTGAGAGTAAGAATTCATGAAGCCAAATGATATTAAAAAAGGTCTTCTTCCCAAAGGAAGCCAAATAATAATTACAGGAAGAATAACAGAAATAGAAAATCACCATTTATATCCACCCTAGTAACAACAGATGCGGGCAAGAATCCTCCCCGTTGTAGTAAAACCTGAGCAAGACTTAAGGAATGGGGTGTCCACACAGTATGGGAGAGTCCACCCCACAGGTTTGCTACTAATTATAAAGGGGACAGGTACATGGACAGTGGGGAATTCTAGCAGACACCGCCTTAACCATGCAATCTAACGGAGTATCACTCTCCAGAGAGCTGATATCCTGTCTTCATGATGTGACACACTGGGACACATCACCTAGGAAGCATTCCTACCAAAAATGACCAGGGTCTCATCATAAGGAAACAAGATGCTAATAAATCTAAATAGAAGGATATTCTGCAAAACAGGTGGCTGACTCCTCAAAAATGTCAACGTCATCAAAGATCAAACGGCAGAGGGTGATAGGCATCACCCTTGCCTGGCCCTTTGTTCCAACAACTAAAAAGCTGGGAAGGACATTAGAACAACTGGGGAAAGTTTACACACTAGACAACAGCATATCATGAATGTTAAATTTGCTGAGTGTGACACTGTTTTCAGTTACACAGAGAATGCCATTGTTTACAGGAGAGAACATGCTCAATTATTAAAACCACAATGTCTGCAAAAGTAAACTCTTAAATGGTTCAACAGTGTGAATGTGTGAGTGTGTGTGTGTGTGTGTGTGTGTGTGTGTGTAAACATATGGCAAAAGCCAACATCCGGTGAAACAAAAATTTTTTTAAATTAAAGATTAATAAGTTTATGTTACTGTACTTAAGCAACTTAAAACTTTGGGAAGTAGAGGTCACCACCACTAGCTGAGTGAGAAGAGGGTGGCAGAAGGGTCAGAGCCTACAAGAGTGGGAAAGAGCCACTAGCCCAGGGGGAGGCACGACGAACACCCTGCAGGTTGGGAGGAGGGGATGTGCCACGCAGCACAGAAAGCCTGGCTGAGCTGGAGAGGAAAGCGGCAGTTTCCATGGTCCAACCTCCAGCCCCCCGCCCACCACCACTACCACCCCGGCCTGGAGGCGCACAGCACAGAAAGCTGCAGGCTGCCTCTCTTGGGCATTTACAAGTGTCCACGGGAACCAGTCCTGCTATGGATATCTTCAGAGACTGCTTATGCTTTGTACCCAAAGAAGTTTTCCCCTAAATCCTTGTTTCAATGAAAAAATTCATTTATGCCACTCTAAAACTTGTATTTTATTTGGTTTAATATCTTAATTTTGTAAAAGAGGCAGCTTGTATTCAAAGAAGCCCAATGCTGCTTTTGAGGTAAATGGACAACAGAACTAGCTGAAGGAGACCAAACATTTCTGAACGCTTGGTGGGAGGACAGAAGTTCTGACACAGGGTGCTCCTTGCTAACTAGAGGGGGAAAAACATCACAGGGAAATGTCAAAATAACATGAAGCTTTGATCTTATCTTGTCCTCCATAACCTGAAGCAGAATAACGTAGACCTGTGTCCTTCAAACTCTGTGGACAGAAGCCTGGAAATGGTCACCCATATAACCACAGGCCTGGCTGTAAACTCCCCATACACTTAGGAGCAGCCCCCAAGCCGGCTTTTCTTACCCACCTCTTTTGGGGAGAAAGTGCACAGTGACAACCAATGAGGAATCGTTTTGCATTTTTTAGAAGGCTAACCTCTGCCAGTACTAGAGGAGAGGAAACGACGCTTTTCTTTAAAGCTACACTCATCTCCACTGTATTTGTGGAGAGGCAAGCAAGCCCAGAATGTTCTGTGTGTTTACACCAAATGAAAGTTCTCGTCCAATACCAAGGCCGGCACACAGTGCATTTTCTGAAATCCAGTTAAACTGAGCAGCAGTGATGCCATCACTTCTACTTCTGCCTTCGTGGATTTAAGAGATCTATAACAATCTGAATTTGCTGACAATTCCTGTCTTTCACTTCGTATTTGTAAATACTTTATTCTATTTATACTTAAATTTCTTCTGTAGGGAGATCAATTCTTTCTCAAACTGCTAAAGTAGATCATATTCTGAAAGCAGGTAAATGTAATCTCTTACCTTTCCATTAAGAAGTAAGCTTTGTGTCAGCTTCTTGAGGAACCAGGTTCCAATTTCTTTTCAACTAAAAGACTTTTAGACTTGCTTTTATTCCTCTCTGTTCTGAGCAAATTGCATAGGGTCCTTGTTTCTAATCTCTACAGTGTCTACTCCACTCTCAGCCCTTTGTGGCCTAGTCAGGAGGACTGGAACATATTCACCAACCTCTGAAGTAAACCAACAAGAAGAAGCCATAATTAAAGAGTGTATCGCACTGACCTCTGCACATTAAACACCAGAAGACATAAAGCAGTGCTTATACAACTGAGATAGAACTCAGGCTTTTAAATACAAAGGAAACAGAAAAACATTCTTAGATTTACAGAGACTTGGAAAATATACCACTCCTGTAACCACTCAGAAAAACTTCCTCAAAATGACATGCTTCGGGGCGCACTGGTGGCTCAGTCAGTTCAGCATCCAACTTCGGCTCAGGTCATGATCTCACGGTTCATGGGTTCGAGCCCCACATCGGGCTCTGTGCTGACAGCTAGCTCAGAGCCAGGAGCCTGTTTCAGATTCTGTGTCTCACTCTCTCTCTGACCCTCCCCTGCTCATGCTGTCTCTATCAGAAATAAAATAAAACATTAAAAAAAAAAAAAAAAAAGACATGCTTCATCCAAACAGGAAATGAACTGAATTAAAGAAACCAGTCTTAACAGGTCAAAGAAAAAATTCAGGGCAAATCTGAACTCTTCAAGGAAAAGGAAAATCCACAGTTTTATCTGGTGATTAATGGCAACAATTTAATATAGTGAGAAAAACAGTCAATTATATTTAATACCTATGAAAACTGTGTAAAATCAGAAAAGAACTGTTCTATTCATATCAATAGTCCATCTATAGGATTATCTTAATTTTTATAGCAAAAAGCATAAAACAGATGCCATAATCTTTTATTGTTGGTCCAATTATAGAAAGTTAGGCACCTTTAGAAGAAGGCACCTTGACCAAATAGGGAAATAGTATCTAAATAAAAACTACAGAGAGCCTTCCTTTTTAAAGTATTTGATCACTCTGCAGGTCTGTTTCTAACTCCTTTATCCATATATTATTGTCTGTACCAAGACACCACCAGGAAAGTATCTTAAAGAGGCAGCAGCGAGGAAAGAGTTGAGGTGATTTAGGATAGCTGGAGTTCATAAAAACCCCAGGCTGGGGTGTAATTAGTCTGTAACTATGCTCTCCTCTTTCATACCCAGTGAGAAGCCCTCTGTTACTTTGCCCTTCAAGGCTCTCCTCAATGCTGGAAGAAGGAAGGGCTAGAGTCAAACATAAGGCAGAGCATAGCCTAATAAAAGATGAAAAGGACTAAATTTAAAAGTCTTTCCAAAGCCTCTCAGCTGATCTTTGCAGGTATTTTCAATGACTTGGGACAGCAGTGGCTAATTTGGAGAAGATTCTTCAATGAAAGGCTTTTATATGGCATAGTTTGCTACAGGAAACCTCACAAAGCCATAAAAGTGTGCTTACCCTCTGATTCAGGAGCTGATATCTGAAGTAACTATAACTTATATAAATATATAAATAAGGATGTTATGAAGTGGTTTGAATTAACTTCATAAAATCCTATTTTTCTAAGAAATATTTTTAAAGGGTCCATGCATAGAAAAGAACTGGAAGAAGAGACATTAAAACATCACTACTGATGGTCTTTGGGTAGTAGAATACAAATTCTTCGCAGTTTCCTAACTTTTCTGCACTGCACACGCATTAATCTTACGATGAAAAGAGGAAAAAAATATCCTCACAAGAAGAAACAAGACACACTTACATTCAAAAAAATTGTTTTCTTTTTTAAGACATCTGAACTATATTCAAAAACCTCTTCTAAATCCTAAAAACATCAGCAAAGTTATTATGGCTAAGACACTCATTTTAAGGGGATCAATTCAGTATACACATAGTTCTGGAAATATGCAAACTACGTGCTACCTATATACACCTGACACCACACTGGGGCTCTACAATCACTGTAGGAGTCCTACTGTGTAAGATTCTTTCCAGGGATTCTGCAGTACAGCAAAGAGTGCCCTCAGTGCTCCAGGAGCACCCCGTGCTCACCACCATCATAGTACTTAACACGCTCCAATAGGATATTAAGTTTACTGGCCTTGCTCTCCTGACCAACTCTGACCCCAGCATTTATGTTAGCATGGTGCCTGGAACATAGCTGACACTAATTATTGGATGCACTGATGGACAGATGGATGACGACAGATTTACGCATATTATGTGTAACTGGATGGGTGGACAAATACGGAGACAGATGGACAAAGGAATGGACAGACAGATGTCTGGAGAGAGGAATGAATGTACAAATGCAGACTTTCAGTTAGGAAAGCCTGGTTCCAGTCCCACCTCGCTAATAATCATCTAGTTAACAAGTCACTCTACCTTTCTAGATCTTTTATTCACATATAAAGGAAAAAGGATTAGACCCACTGATACAAGAAGGCTCTTTCTAGCTACTAAATTAGATGATTAACACTGAGGCAGAATTTTTTCATTGTAAGCAATTAGAGAAGTTTGTTGGTGGATATCCTTAATTTTTATTACCCTGTTAGTCATATTTCATGAAGACTGAACTGATGTCATGTCCTTGACACCCCTGATCCTACCACTATTCCCACATAAAACAGAACTCACTTTGAGAGAAGGACTTACATGCTTTTTAGAACTGCAGTACTGTGAGGTTTGCACTGAGAGCCTCAAACACCTACCTACTGAGGGCAAACTTTAAGTCTTTTTTTTCTTCAATCTACAAAAAAAAATTCCAATCGACTGGTGACAGATCTTTAAACAAGAAGAAATTAAAGTCTTTTTGCAAGTCAGGAATGAGATCAATGCAGCTACTTACCTTTTACTTTCTTATTAAACCTTTTCTGTCTCAATTTTTCTCGGTTTTCTTGTCGAACTTCCTTTGCTTCTTCTAATGCTTCCTGACTACCCCAAACTTCAAGAGACCGCTTCACAATCTACAACACAGAATCCATATTTAAATAAGCTGTAATTCAGAATTGTTAAGTATTATAAAGTTATAATAATTAAATCCATGAGCACCAGAACATGATCTCACTCAAAGGCAATTTGATAAATATCTGAAAAATTTTTAAGAGATTAAATAGTGCTTAGAGAAGTGCCTGGGTGGCTCAGTCAGTTAAGTATCCGATTCTTGATTTCAGCTTAGGTCATGATCTCACTGTTGGTGACATTGAGCCCCATGTTGGGTTCTGTGCTAACAGTGTGGAGCCTATTTGGGATTCTCTCTCTCCCTCTCTCTCTGCCTCTCCCCTCATTGAGTGTACACTCTCAAAATAAACTTTAAAAAAAATAGTGCTTGGACTGCTGGTGAGAATGCAAACTGGTGCAGCCACTTGGGAAAACAGTATGGAGGTTCCTCAAAAAATTAAAAATGAAACTACCCTAAGACCCAGCAACTGCATTACTAGGTATTTACCCAAGGAATACAGGTATGCCGTTTCAAAGGGGCACATGTACCCCAATGTTTATAGCAGCACTATCAACAATAGCCAAAGTATGGAAAGAGCCCAAATGTCCATCCATGGATGAATGGATAAAGAAGATGTGGGGTGTGTGTGTGTGTGTGTGTGTGTGTGTGTGTGTGTACATACATACAATGGAGTATTACTCAGCAATCAAAAAGAATGAGATCTTGACATTTGCAACTATGTGGATGGAACTGAAGGGTATTATGTTAAGCAAAATTAGTCATGGAAAGATAAATATTATTATGATTTCACTCATATGAGGACTTTAAGATACAAAACAGATGACCATAAGGGAAGGGAAGTAAAAATAATATAAAGACAGGGAGTGGGACAAAACATAAGAGACTCTTAAATATGGAAAACAAACAGGGTTACTGGAGGAGGTGTGGCGGGGGGGGAATGGGCTAAATGGGTAAGGAGAATTAAGGAATCTACTCCTGAAATCATTGTTGCACCATATGCTAGCTAACTTGGATATAAACTAAAAATGAATTATTTAAAAAAATAGTGCTTAGAAACTCAATAATACTTCTATTTAAGCCTCAGTAAATATACTTAATTAGACTATATATAGAAAAGTTGTCCTCTGACTATAATTATTTCTCGGATACATTGTTTTCACATAAATTCAAAGAAGTACATAAATTTCACATAAATTCAAAGAAGTACAAGTAATCAGTGGGTCTGATGAGCTTTGTCACACTCACCAAAAAACTTAGCCACAGCCCATCTCAACATGAGGTCATCTCCAAAAACCTTCCACCATCACTATTCCTTCCCTCCTTGGTCCATTACAGCTTCCATCCACTTGACTAACTTCTGATCTTTAGAGTATCAACTTCTTTTTAAACTCTGGTACCTGAATGACCTAAAAGTCTTTATTCTTGTTTAAAAACTTTGCATTATAGTTTTCTTTACTCTTTATTTACCTTTAGGAGTCTCACATACATACTAAGAATTATGCTAGGCTCTCTCTCTCAATAATGTAAGGGGACCAAAATATCAATCAAGGTAGCCAAGCTCAAATTTCCTCTTAACATAATAAAGGGATATACTGGCATTCCCTAAATTCTAAAGCATCACATTTTCCACAATTTAATACCCCTGAAGATGCTACAGCAGCAATCTGCTTTCTGGTACTTTAACAACTGAGTAAAAAGGTAGTTCAAAAGAATTGGACTCTGAATGCAAAGAAGTTTAGGAATATCTTAATAAATCTGTTGTACTTGCATTCTCCTATTTATGTATGCACAAGCATGATGTACAGAAAAAAAAAATATATATATATATGTATACACTAAGTCTGATGGCATTATTCAGTAACTGTAAAATAAAAGTTCCAAGTGGTAAGAAAGCATTGGGTTGGCATTTTTCCATTGTTAATGGTACATAAAATAGTGACTCTTCTAATTGACAATGTCTTAGGTTTAATAAAATTCAATAAATGGTTATTACAATAAAGATTTAAAAAATTTTTTTTAATTTTTATTTTAAGTAGGCTCCATACCAACATAAGGCTTCAACTCACAACCCTGAGATCAAGAGCTGCATGTTCTACCAACTGAGCCAGCCAGGTGTTCCTACAATGCAGCTTCTCATTAATTTTATTTGAAGATACTAGTATTTTCTAGTATTTTCTAATCAAACTGCTCTAAAGCAATGCCTCCCAGTAATTTTCTTTTTATATACTGGTACAAATTTATAACCTTCGTACCATTCTGGGATAGATACAGGAGGCTGCTAGTGACTCTTTGTGGGTGTGGGTAATCTCTGCGCACCTGTACCGCTACCACCACACGAGGAGTGGGGAAGATCCACTGTGAGACACAGTAGTGTTACAAGGACACTTGACAGGGTTCCAATGATTATTTCCCAGGTGGAGTTAGATTTCCGGCATTTGTGAAATTCCTGAAACTTTTTAAAGATTTTCATTGGAGGGTGGGTGGGTAGAGAAATGGGGCCTGACTCATAACTCCCAAGTTTTTTAGTTCTCTAAATGCATAGTAACATTACCCCATAGTAATGTATTTACCCAAAGTACCACACCAAAAACTATAATGTTATTAAATGTCATTACAAATAACTGCATCTTATAAGCAAAACAACAAAGTAAAAGGATCTTTTTAACTGTAAGCAAAAACTAAACTAATTACCACCAGTTTATTGTTAAAACTTCACCTGACCGAGGGTTTAACAGGAGTATAACTCATCAGAGACCTGTAATTTTAAGTAGAGTTTCATATCACCCCACTGCGAATGATGAGGATTCTTCTTCACAATAAATTTTAGAGCTGGTTCTCTTTTTTCTAAATCGCAGTCTTTCAGAAGGTATTCTTGTTTGGCTTCTGTTTTAGTTATGAGCTTGTGTTTATCATCAGCATCTCTGAAAACAAATGAAGTCCAATACTAAGTTAGCTACTTTAATTAAGTTCTCAGAAAGTCCAACAACTTAGGGCATGTGTGCCACAACATAAAACAGTTTTTCCTTCAACTCTCATGGTCAAGTTAGCAGCATAAAAATCCTAACAGAAAAACACTTACTTGGTAAAGCTAGATTATATTAGCAGTAGATCCAGGTCATTTAACACTCTAAGAATTTCTTTTCTACCTAAAGTCCCTCTTTTCCACAATAGATATGAAATGACTTAGTAAGTTCTTAATGAGAACTAAGACTTAATGAGTAAGAAAATATAAATCAAAGCATAAAGTCAGTATATGGGCTATAAAGAATAGAAATATGCAAGGTCCAACTGTCCCAACACAGTTGTTTCCAATTGGTTCTGAGCTTTTTCAAAGCCAAGGTAAAAATGGAGATATAGTCAATTACATTGTTCTTCTCATTTATTTGTTCTCCACCTCCATGCCAGATATTGTTCAAGGTACTAGGAATACAAAGCCTTGTTTTCAAGAAGCTCCGATTCTGGTTAGAAGACAATCAATAAGCAAACATAATGACAGACACAAGTGCTATAAAGGAACACAAAGTATGGCAAAGGAACAGAAATGTTCTGATAGACTGGGTAATCAAAGAGGGCCCTGGATAAGGAGGAATTTGATTTTTTTTTTTTTTTTTTACATTTATTATTGAGAGACAAGAGACAGACAGAGTAAGAATGGGGGAGGGGCAGAGAGAGAGAAGAAGACACAGAATCCGAAAACAGGCTCCAGGCTCTGAGCAAGCTGTCAGCACAGAGCCCAAGGCGGGGCTCAAACGCATGAACTGTGAGATCATGACCTGAGCTGAAGTCGGACACTCAACCAACTGAGCCACCCAGGCACCCCATAAGGAGGCATTTGAGCAAGGCCCTTAAAAAGTCAGAGAACATCAAGGGGCACCTGGGTAGCTCAGTCAGTTAAGTGTCCGACTTCAGTTCAGGTCATAATCTCGTGGCTCATGAATTCAAGTCCCGCACTGGTCTCTGTGCTGACAGCTCAGAGTCCAAAGCCTGCTTCAGATTCTAGGTTTCCCTCCCTCTCTCTTCCCCTCCCTCACTTGCTCTCTCCTTCTCTCTCAAAAAATAAACATTAAAAAAAAAAAAGGGGGGGCGCCTGGGTGGCTTAGTCGGTTAAGCGTCCAACTTTCGCTTAGGTCATGATCTCGCGGTTCGTGGGTTCGAGCCCCGTGTCGGGCTCTGTGCGGACTGCCAGCTCAGAGCCTGGAGCCTATTTCGGAGTCTGTGTCTCCCTCTCTCTCTGATCCTCCCCTGCTCACGCTGTCTCTCTCTCTCTCTCTCTCCTAGAAATAAATAAAAATATTTTAAAAAAATTAAAAAAAAAAAAAGTCAGAGATATCCTATATGAATAGCTGGAGAAAGAACATCCTAAGCAGAGAGAACAGAAGCTCTAGGGCAGGAATGTGCTTTGCAATGAGCTGGTGTGACCAAAAGGCTTTAAGGGAGGGACAAAGGTGAGGAGCGATGGGAGATCAAGTTAGAGACAGGCAGGGGCCCTGTAAGCAGTAGTGAAACAATTCCATTCTAGATGGATTAAAAAAACCATTGACAAGGGGACGCCTGGGTGGCTTAGTCTGTTAAGCGTCCGACTTTCACTTAGGTCATGATCTCACGGTTCGTGGGTTCGAGTCCTGCATCGGGCTCTGTGCTGACTGCCAGCTCAGAGCCTGGAGCCTATTTCAGTCTGTGACTCCCTCTCTCTGACCCTCCCCTGCTCACGCTGTCTCTCTCTCTCTCTCCTAGAAATAAATAAAACATTTAAAAAATAAAATAAAAAATAAAGTAAAAACCATTGACAAGTTCTAACTAAAACATCTACGTAGAAGAGGCCAATGGTGCAAAGGCCAGTTAGAAGACCATCAGAGCCATGCTCCAGGCAAGGGCTGATGGTGGCCTCAGCTGAAGTAGAAGTGGGTGAGGGGACAAGGGGATGAACTGAGGATATGGAATGAACAAGAGAGCCAAATGGATTTAGAATTAAACACTGGATAAGCAGAGATACAGCCAATAAAGTTGGGTCTTTACTGAAACGAGGGACAAATCAGGTAGGGGAAACTTAATATCAGGAATAACTTTATGAAAGCTAAATAATCTGGAAGTTTATGCTAAAGGAGGGGACAGGTAAATAACACTGTACTAAAATTAAAATCTTCAAAGATATTGAAAGGAAACAGAATGGAGGGCTGTGATCCTAATTACTTTAGAGTTAAAAAATATTTTTCTAGACTACTTTCCACAACTTTCTTTAAAGTGATTTTATCAATTGCTTCCATTTTCTCGTGGAAATATTACATGTGGTAATTTTGTTCCCAAAAGCTATCCGTAAAGAGTGACAATACTGTGGACCTTAACCATCATGTGTCGATGGGAACAGAGTTTATATAATGTTATATAGTCACAGATCCAATCACAAGACCAGAAACCTCTCCCACTCTATCTTCTCAGGATTCTACACAGCGACAAGTCAATGGGGAGGTCTCCCGATGGCTGCAGCAGGGACTCGGAAAGGCCAAGTCCTCCAGGCAGGTGGGCGGCTGGTCTAGGGCAGCAGGTCCAAGAAGTAGGACCAGGGAACAGGTAAGAGGGCTCAGCAGGAATCCAAGATAGGGTCTTAAGGCATGAAAGACAGCAACACAGGATGTGGCTGGGGCAAACAGCAGGGACAGAACCATGTGGAGTGAGAAGCATGATCGTGGGGTGACAGAAAGAAAGGGTAGCAGCAAGAAGAACAAAAAGGATGAGAGAAGAATGGGAGCTTTCCTCATGTCTTCTCCCCCTGCCCATTCAGAAGAGTAAAGCATGCATGGAAGGCGGTGCTCTGAAAGGGCCAGGGGGGCGGCTGGAGACGCTCCACTCCCCTCCTCTCACAGAAGGCCCCAGTCCTCTGACCAAGGTGTCTACACACACTGGGTAAGACACAGGGACCCTTAGCGGCTGTGGGAAGACAGAGGTTAGGAACCTGCTACTGAGAGATGGTAAAGGCCCACCAGGCCCACAGAAAGGAGACGACGTAGCTCTGGTCCATCCTTCCTGTTTATGGGACATATCAGAAATCTGATAAGCACAGGCTTCCCAAATTTCTTTAGCAAAATGGAAACCACAGAAATTTTAGGAAACACTCCAAACAAAAATCATAATTACTAAGAAAATATTAAACCCAATGGCTCTAATTATTGTTTTGCCCTAAATTTGCATGCACACATTAAACCCGAGCAGCCGAGAACACTGTCTGAAGTACGTACCTGCAGTTGTCACAAGTTGCCAAATCAAAGTGGTTCATGAGGTAAGAATCCATAAATTCTTTACCACATTCTTCACATATTGCATAATCAAATTCCATAACAGGTCCTAAAGAAAAGAAGGTTAATTCTTCAAGTTTCCTTTTTTTATGACAGAATGGTATATCTTCCCCTATCTTAAATTTGTCAGTATGCACTTTATAACTGACACAAATACATTTACATGAAAAGACAAAACATGGTTAAGTAGTCTTAAACTTATCTTGAAACTTTTTTAAGGAAAAAACTATCAACTCATCAAATACTTTTGAACCCAAAACCTATGTGTGAGGTACTGGTGTTAGTTTTATATTGCTGCTTGTAACAACTTACCACAAATTTACTGGCTAAAACAACACAAATTTATTAAGTTACAGATCTGTAGTTTGTAGGTCTGACACGGGTCTCAGTGGGCTAAAGTCAAGGTGTATGCAGGGCTGCGTTCCTTTCCAGAAGTTTTAGGGGACAATCTATTACCTGCCATTTCCAGTTCTAGAAGCTGCCTGCCTTCCTTGACCCAGGACTCCCTTTGCCCATCTCCAAAGCTGGCAGTAGCAGTTTCTCACATCACTCTGGCTTCTTCCATCATCACATGTCCCTGTGACTCTCCTGCCTTTCACTTTTAAGTATCTCTGTGATTATACTGGCCCCACTGGTAATAGACAACAGAGCCTAATCTCCCACATCCCAAGGTCTTTAACCTTAAAGATATCTGCAAAGTCCTTTTTGATATAGAAGGTAATATATCATGGGTTCCAATGTGATCAGAAGGTAGACATCTGTGGGGAACATATCTGGCCGAGAGGAAGGAGGCTAGTCCCAGAGTCGGAGGGAGGGGCTGCTTATGGACAGGAAGAGGGGCACTGACAGGTAACATGGGAAGAGCAGCAAAGAGCACATCAACACTACAAGAGACAACACAGGATTCACTTTCAAATGGGAAACTTTCCCTGACCTCTGTCCCGCCCACCCCCACCCCTGCCACAAACAGAACAAATACACCGGTGTCCACCACAAGACTATAAACTTGAGGGCAGAGATCATATTTAGCTACATACCCTCAATTCCCAGCACAGAAACCACTCTGGGTAAAGCCCAATTTTTTTTAAGGACTTCAAACACCCAGCGAGGGATCTTTATCCCACAGAACTGGTTCTCCCAGCAAATCTCTATGTTTTACTAGTGCCTCCTCAGGATGACTGCTACCACCAAGCCCCAGCTCTGAGCACCGACCCAGCTCCCAGTGGGAAAGGCAGGGGGTTGTCACTTGTTCACAGTTTGTTCAACATCCTCCTACTGCTGCCTTCCCTTACCTACTTCCAACACCACAAGGTCACTCAATAGTCTACCATCCCTCAGTTCCAGGTATCTCCAAACTCTAACAAAAATATCACTCTTCCTTATAAAACATTAGACGGGCATAGCTATAGACAAAAGGAAAAGATAAAAATGTGATCTTCAAAAACCTGATTACAGAATGTGTTAGAATGGAGATAAACTGCAGTCAGAAATACCGGTTAGGAGGCTACTGCAGAGCATTATTAATCAAAAGCCATAAAATGTGCAGACATTATCCGAATTTTAAAAATTCTTCATGATGAGAACTTTTAAATGTACATGATGATTTTTCAATTCTGTCACTCCCTTTAAATTTACCGTGTGGAAGTTGGCAGTCTACTGTCCATGAGCGCCTTCCCTCCCAGCCATTCATTCATTCATTCATGTATCTATTATTGATATAGACTCATGGATTCCTATTTTTTTTTCCAGTGGTATGTAATTTATTGGTATCCTTATTTACTTCGGTGCTCAAATTATCTCAGATTTGGCCAGCAGAAGCCCCTCCAAGCTGGCTCCTATGTCCCTCTATTACATTCTGAATACTTACATATTACTGGCATTATAAAATGCCCCATTTTGTAGCCATCCTGCCCCAACCTTAGAATCAGCTATTTCTCTGAAGGACCTTGGTTCTTTTTAGTGGGGGAACAGTATCAGAGTCCAAGACCTGGACACCAGGTATGCTCACTGCTACTCGGCTATCTTTGCTTCAAGGCCCTTTCTATGGACAGAGTTAAGAAATAACATGCATATGTGTGTACATACCTACACACATAAGAACCCATACATGCACATGTATCTTTTGAAGTATAAGTGATATACTGTATTAGTTTCACATGTCCAACATAGGGATTCAATATCCATACATATTGTGAAATGATCACAATAAGACTAGTTAACATCTGTTGCCTAGTTACAAAAATCTTTCTTATGAGAACTTTTAAGATCTAATCTCCCAGCAACTTTCAAATGTGCAGTACAGTATAATTAACTAGTCACAGTGCAGTACATTACATCTTCATGACTTATTTTGTAACTAAAAGTCTGAAACTTTAGATCCCCTACACCCCCACTTTCCCCTAGCATCTTCCTGGTTATTCTGATGAACCTCTGTTCGAGATTATAAAAGCATTTGACAGGCTTTGCTTTATAGGCAAATGACTCAAACAAACCATTTTGATTTTCTCAGCTATGCTGAAGATCTTTAAAAATTAACAAAGAGGGACACCTGGGTGGCTCAGTAGGTTAAGCATCCAACTTCAGCTCAGGTCATGGTCTCAGAGTTTGTGGGTTTGAGCCCCGCGTCAGGCTCTGTGCTGACAACTCAGAGCCTGGAGCCTGCTTCAGATTCTGTGTCTCCCTCTCTCTGCCCCTCCTCCTGTTCATGCTCGGTCTCTCTCTCTGTCTCTCTCTCTCTCAAAAATAAACATTTAAAAAAATTAACAAAGAAAACTTGTTAGAAAATATTAATCATTTCCCCTGTTTTCTTCTACCCCCATAGGTCAGCCACATAGAGTTGTACAAGCTCCCCTGTGCAAAGGCATCTGGCCATGGGGGCAAACAGGAGCCAAAATGCATCCCATGACCACTTTTTAAGCCATGAACCCTGGCCCAAACTAAGTCAGCCCAGAAGATGAGGGCCTTTTCTAACTGGTCTCCCAAAGGAGACACACTGAAGGAAGTAACGGGGAGGACATGATGGCCAGTGGACCCACGAGCCAGACCTGGGCAATTAGAGACTCCTCACGCCCTGCCCTGTTCTTGGAATGTACATTCTGCCCATCAGTCCCACGGTGCGAGCTTTCCAAGGACAAAGCCTTGGGAAATAAAGCGTCATTGAGACCACGTTACCTGAATATGTGACTGAACCCAGTCAAGGCCTCTATATAAACTGTTAAGATGTGGCAGGTGGGTGCAGAGACCTGCTCATCTTGAAGCCACCCAGGACAAGCCTCCCAAGTTCCCCTGCTAATTAAAGCTGCCACCTACCAATGTGGAGTGGCCTCTCTCTTTGGTCTCTCTTGCCCTCTGTATACCAGACCAGTTTGCAAACTAACACACACCTTTTCTAACTTCCACAAATTCATTACCAAAGTTCTATTTACAAGCAGCTGCCTTACCAGCAATGCCACATGCACACCTTAGTTAAGAAGGAAGGCCCTACAATAGGTTATCAATAAATATTTGTTGTGTGATCTGTTAAATAAAAATATAGGCTTTACAGCCCACAGCTGATACCAAAATCTACAGAAAAAAGTTACAATGAGTCTTCATATCCATACAAGCATAGAGACTTTAAAGACCTTTTATTCCACACCTTCCTTCCTCATACAGGGCTTCTCTAAAATATTCTGATCAGGTGGTCTTTCAATCTCTGAACCCCTCCAACACTTTGCTATTTAGAGGCAGCAATTCACATAGAAAGTTTTTCCATTTCACAGAGTCACCATGAGGCTCACAGGATCTATGTGCCAACATTCTGTACATGCAAAGTGCTAAGTATATGTAAGGCACTCCTTCATTATACTGCTGAAATCTCCCTCACCGTACTGTAATCGTCGCCCACCGTTCCAAGCTCTACCCTCGAAAGAGAATCACAGGGTGATCTCTCTTCCACAGCGGGGCACCTCTTGCACTTGCAGGCAGTCAGAAGTGTTCCTAAGTTAAACCCGACCAGTTTGACAACTGTTCCTCACATGTCAATTTAAGACTTCTGTTTTGACCACCCTGTTTTGGACACTATATACTTGTCAACATCCCTCTTACATATGGCACCCAAACTGAACAAATACTTTAATCCTTCAAGTCTCAGCTTCTGAAAAGAGTTTAGGCACACATATTCACACCAACTTGGCAAATATGTAACATTTCTGTTGCCACAGCTAAAACTAGAATGCATTTTTTTTAAGTTTATTTGAGAGAGCGAAAGAGAGAAGGGCAGAGGGAGGGGCAGGAAAAGAGGGGGACGAAGGGTCCAAAGCAGGTTCTGCCCTGATAGCAGAGAGCCTGATGCCGGGCTCAAACTCACAATCATGAAATCATGACCTGAGCCAAACCTGGACACTTAACCAACTGAGCCACCCAGGTACCCTAGAACGGGTTTTTTAAGCCTCGCCAAGGATAAATATATACAGATACATATCCCACTTTTTTTCCTCCAAACAAACAAAAGAAAGAAATGTCCTAAATTTTATCTTTTGGGTTGTAGCCCCTCATTTCAGTCTATCTAGATAACTGAGTATTCGATCAGTGAATATATTGGCTATCCCTGCCTATCATAAAATAGAGAGCATCAACCCTCAGTATACAAACCACAAGTTAAATTAATTATTGCCAAATCTGTTTAATTTTTAATCTACTAGCAAAAGTGCCAAACTTTGTTAGTCTTAAAAAGCTAACCTGCTCACTGACTATAAGTATGCTATTATTTAACACCAGTGTGCCAAGAATTATTCATGTTCCTTAAAATGACCAATCTAGATTCCTACTTTCTGGAAATACACTTTACCTGGCTGATGGACAACTTTCCCAATTGTACGTTGTTCCTCTTCTTCCTCTTCTAGAATGAAGCCACCTTCTGTGTCAATGATCTTTGGGGCTGCTTTTACATTAGCCATGCCTATAAAAAGTAAGTAAAAGTGGTCAATGACTTAACTAGGTAAGCCCATAAGTTCCCTTGTGCATAAACAGGAAGTTTCTTTAAATTTAACAGATACCAAACAAGAAAAGGATGTCCACTATTAACACTTATACTCAACATTATACTGAAGGGCCCAGCTAGTGGAAGATAAGAACATAAAACAGGCACAAAGGTTGGAAAGGAGTAAAACAGTCTGCATATTCTACATACATAATCATGTCATCTGTGGATAAAGACTGAATTATGACATATGGCATGAAAAAGACTGAGAAGAACTTGCTTAGAATGTGGTGCCAAGGGTCTGGGGAAAGAGCAAGGTGTAGCAGAGAGAAATGGGGCTCTGTCTTGGCATGACCAAGGATCCTGCTCAAGCGATGGTCCTGACTCCTCCAGCTGCTCTGGTCTTTTTCATGGTCTGTGTCCTAGCTCTGAGAGAGAATGAAGGTGGTACAGTACATGGAAATAAAAGTACTGCAAAGATCAAAATCTCAACACCAAACCTAACTCTTGTAGCACAGCGGGTTGTACACCATGTTACAGCACAGTTCCGTTCCTGGGTCAGTGCCTGGGAAACCTTACAGAATATTCATTCTACCTGGTTTTCTGTGATCAGAAGTTTTATAGCAGTTTATTGTTCTATTATGCACCCGCGTTCCACAGCCATTTAGGACAGATCTGCAAACCTTTATGAAATCACAAATATTAATGCAAATGAACAACTTTTTGTCCCAACTCTGGAAAGTCTCAAGTTGAGAAAGGAATAAAAAAAAATAATAATAAATAAAAAAAAAAGGACTAGCAAGGATGAGACCAGAACCTTTAAAAGTGGCTGGAATTTGCAGATTCAGGATCAGTATAAAGACATGCTGCCAGCCCCAGACTCTTGGCATTCTTCCTTACTTCTGGATGATGAAAAGGGCCCTAAAACGTGCTCAATTATTCACACAGTATGAGATATGGCTTTTCAAACTTCGTGTTACAGAGGTGGTCCTAAAGCGCACATCAACCAAACTATATTGTGGTACCCTGGGGAAGATTATTACTTGGCTCCAGTGTAAACTTACATGACAAAAACTTACGCACGCACATGACAGACCTGCAGTTAAGGGCTGCCCTAAGAAAGGGGGAAGGTAACATTTAGACAAAAATGGCACAAAAATAACAGCCGATCTTCCTAAAACTGAAAGATTCCTGGCACAGAAGAGGCTATCGGTAGCAAGGAAAGGCCCTGAACACAGTATCAGATGACCTCAATTCTAGTCCCGATTAGCCTGTTGCATTTGCTCCTATGAACCTGATCAGATCCCTTTCCTTTTCTGGTCCTCAGTTACCCCTTGGTGAAATACCAGTACCAATTCCTGCCCTAATTATTTTCCAAGCGAACAGAATCAAATCAGCTAACGTGAAAGATGTGAAGCACAACAAGCGCCACTCCTGAGCCCCAAGAAGGCAGGAGCTCACGTCCGTTCGCCTCTCTTGGTGCCCCTGCACGAAGCAAGCACGGTGCCGGGTCCGGAATATGCACTCAATCGCCCTTTGCTGAGTGGATGAATTCGGGAGCGGTGCAGAATTATTCGTGCAATGGGTACAAGTCTAAAAGCTTTATACGAGGACTACCCCTGGGGCTGTCGGAGGCACAGCAGGAAGGGAGCAGAAAGGGAAAGCTGAGGCGCCCACCGACACCGGTTGGCACGCCTGACGGCGAGGGCGGCTGCTTGTCCAAGCTAAAGACGGCAGCGGGGCCGCCCAGGTGCAGTGAGAAAAGCCCGGGGTCCAGCGCGGACCGGCCGGTGGTCGCGCACGGCCCGCTTTGACACGGCCCCGGAGGCGGACTCCCGGGACTGCGGGAGGACATGAGCACAGCAAAAGGGCAGCCGACGCCACTCTCAGAACTTGGTATACCCGGCCCGCCAGAGGGAAGGGACAGCGCCGCCAGGGCCCAAACCTCCGGTAGCCGCAGCCGCCGTCGCCGGGTAGGGCCGGGCCGCCAGCCGGGCCTGGCGCAGCATCAGCGCCCGCTGCCTCTTCCGCTCTATGCTCGCCCGCACCGAGGCAGGCAGCTCCGCAGGCTGTTCTGAAGCCGCCGGCTCCGGCGAAGCTCCCTCGGCCGCCGCCATGTCCAAGTTCCCCAAAGGGCCGAGGACCTAGCCCCGCGCAAGCGCAACGGCGCTCCGAAGCCTTCCCACAGCCCCGCGGCGACGCCTGCACCGCCTCCGCTTCGACGCCACCGTACAGCCTTTGAGAAGGAGAGCGCCTGCGCACGTTGAGGAGGCCGGGACGCAAGGCACCGGCGGTGGGTGGGGCCTGCGCACGCGTCGGGGAAGCTGCGTGCTGGTAACCCAGAAGGACTCCGGCTGAGGTCAATTTTCAGTACCCGGTCGTCTTTAAAATAATAGTTTCGCTTGGTGGGTCAGAATATGGGCTTTGGAGTCAAAACCGGATTAAGGTCCAGTTCTGACACTGACCGCTGCGTGACCTTGACGAACAAGTTACTTAACCTCAGTTTCTTCAGAAGTAAAACGACGATAATTATGGAACAATCCCTGGGTTGTTGGAAAGATCAGATGTAAGGATTTTCAGCACAATGCCTGGCATATGGAAAGCTTCCAAAAATAAGGGCAGCTAGTAGTAATAGTAGCGCCAGTCAAGAAAGACCGATAGATGATTCATCTGACTGTACTTTGAAAGCATGGCCTAGCGGACAGTCTTAGATTTGATTTGAGAACCCCTGGGTTCAAACTCTTACTTGCTGTGTGACGTCAGGCAAATGCAGCACCTGGTATCAGAGCTGGTATGCGTGAACTTGGCTATCTTTTCCATGGAATATTCCTTCAGTGTGGGTGAAATGCCACCAGGTAGACTGGGTTTGGATTTGGGCCAAATCCTGGCTTCCCAAAAGTGTATGGCAAATGGAGCATTTTGCAAGACACATGGCATGCGTTTCCAAAAATGTATGCTTTTTTAATTATTATTACAAATGAAATTTAATTGAAACCAGAAAAGACTATGTTCTAATTACTGCATATTACCATTTAGGACTAGTTTTCAGAACAACCTGACAGACTGCGGTTTCACACCAGAATTCAATGGTTAAAATTTGAGCCCCACAACGTAGTGGTTCTAATCTATTGAATATATATATATTCTATATATATTCTATATATATTCTAATCTATTGAGATATATATATATATTCAATAAGCTGGAGAGCATCATAAAAACCAGATAAGTGCTCAGATCTTCTGGTTAAACTGGAGATGAAGACCTCAAGCAATCCCTGTTCCTTCTCCCCTCAGATTCCTTTCTCTCCTTATCCACTGACTTTGTCCAGGTGACAAAATCTTAGATTGCATAAGCACAAACAACAAAAGAAAAAATTAAATAAATTGGACTTCATCAAAATGTAAAACTTTTGACCATCAAAGAACACCATCAAGAAACTGAACAGATAACTCACAGAACGGTAGAAAATATTTGCAAATCACATATCTGAAAAGGTCTAGTATCCACAATATCTAAAGAACTTTTATAACTCCATAACAAAAAAAGGCAAATAACCCAGTTTTTAAATAAGCAAAGGACTGGGGCACCTGGGTGGCTCAGTCAGTTAAGCGTCCAACTTTGGCTCAGGTCATTATCTCACAGTTCGTGGGTTTGAGCCCCATGTTGGGCTCTGTACTGACAGCTAGCTCAGACCCCAGAGCCAGATTCAGATTCTGTATCTCCCTCTCTCTCTGAACCTCCCCTGCTCACACTGTCTCTCTCTCAAACACACACACAAATAAATAAAAACATTTAAAAAATTTTTAAATAAGCAAAGGACTTAAATGGACATTTTTCTAAAGACAATATAGAAATGGCCAACAAGGACATGAAAAGACAGTCATCACTAGTCATTAGGGAAATGCAAACCAAAAATTTAGTAAGATACCACTTTACTACCATTAGGATGACTAGAATTAAGAAAAAAGACAGAAAATAACAAGTATTGGCAAGAATGTGGAGACATTGGAGTACTTATACATTACTGGTGGGAATGTAAAATGCTGTTACGGAGAATAGTTTGACGAGTCAAAAAGTTAAACATAGAATTACCATATGAGGGGCTCCTGGGTGGCTCAGTCGGTTGGTTAAGCATCCAGCTCTTGATTTCAGCTCCAGTCATGATCTCACAGTTCATGAGATCGAGCCCCGTGTTGGGTTCTGCACTGACAGCAGGGAGCCTACTTGGGATTGCCTCTTTCCTTCTCTCTCTCTGCCCCTCCCTCACTTGTGCTCATGTTCTGTCTCTCACTCTCTCTCACAATAAATAAGTAAACTTAAAACAATTTTTTATAGACTTAACACATGAGTCAGTAATGCCACTCATCCTGCTTTAGGTAATGTTCTCCGGCTTAAGCATATATACAATCAATAAACTAGAACCACTCGCTTGTGCTGCTCAAATTTTAAATGTTGAATACTAGCGTGAAACCTCAGTGTGCCAGATTGTTCTAAAACTCTATACCCCAGCAATTCCACATACCGAAAAAAATTGAAACACAGGTGTTCAAACAAAAACTTGCACGCAATGTTCATAGCAGGACTATTCAGAGTAACCCAAAAGTTAAAGCTACCCAAATAGCCACCAAACGATGAAAGCAAAAACAAAATGTGATATGCCAATACAAAGGAATATTATTCAGCCAGAAAAGGGACAGAGTAGTGACACATGCTACAACATGGATATATCTTGAAAACATGTATTCCTTCTATATGAAACATTCAAAATAAGCAAACTCATAGTGACAGAGAGCTGATTAGTGGCTGCTAGGGGCTGAGAGGAAAGGGGACAGGGGAATGACTGCTTAATAAGTATGAGGTTTCCTTTTAGGATAATGAAATGCTCCGGGAACTAGCTAGTGGTGACAGTTGCACAATACTGTGAATGGACTCCATTATTACTAATGGACTGGAGTGTCAAGTGCCCCTTCAAGGGGGCAGCTACCACTCCAGCTCCTGTGGGTGGTTGCCAAGAAAGAATTTGGGCCCACAGTTGCCAGAATGTCCAAGGAAAATAACCGCTTCTCAAATTTCAATGCACATATGAGTCACTTGGTGATCTTGTTAAAATGCAGATTCTGATCCCATAGGTCTATGGTGGGACCTGAGATTGTGCGGGGGCTGTAGCTCCCCCACCCACACTTTGAATAGTGAGGGTCCAGCTCTGAAGTTCTCAAATCTGGGTGCACACTGGAAGCACCTGGGGAGTTTAACTAACAGTGATGCTTAGGACACACCCCCAGACATTCTGACATCATGGGTCAGGGCACCATCACTCTAATAGGTAGCAGACTTCGAAAGCCAACATCCTAGATGACCCTCTAGATTTCACACAGCTCTAAGAGCCTTTCGGGCTATGCAGTGTTTCTGGAGAACAAGGTAACAGTTCTTTTCCCAAGGTCACCTTTGGAGAATACCTAGCCTGTAGAACCACCTCCCCAACAAAGCATTCCAAACGTGAAGGATGTGGACCATAGTTCAGATGCTGTACAGGCATTTTGTAACTCTCGACAACCTGTTGGATTTCCTTTTACCAGCAACTCCCTCTTCTTTGGCGTCCTGACCTTTATTAGCAAGTTTCCGGTAATTGGGTCTGAATGCCTCAACCAGGCTAAAATGAGACTCCTCCTTTAGCGAAAGAAAGAGTGCATGCCCCAATCTGTATATCACACACGGTCACAGAGGCTGTAGGGCTTGCCCAGAGCATAGCAGCATGAGTCATCTTGGTGGGGGTACAAAAGGAAAACAGGCAAGGAGAATAGACCAGTGGCTGTGTTCCTGCCTCTCCCCACACAGTCTCTGGAAAAACCTGTGACTACATCTATCTTCCTGCTTTGTACCTCTCCTCTCCCAGACCAGCCGTGATCCTGGCTGAAAGAGGGGTAATTAACAAAGCACAGAAAGACTTGAAAGCCCCAACCAGAGCCTGCAAAAGAGCAGACAGGCAAGAATGGAAGTCAGGAAGGGGAATGAGAAACTTGGCAGTGTTTCCTGACAGGGCCTCCTCTCTAAGAGCATTACTGGAGTTATTCATGCCTGAGATGACAGGATGTGAACATATTTGCCTTTATTATCGAGTAAATAGTACATGTGTGTGGCTTTCTTTTTAATTTTTTCCCTGGCTCCCCAGGGCTTTACCCCTTAATGTGGTCACTTTGAACATCATTGGCATAAGTTCACTATAGAAGAACATCTGTGGCAGGGGGCACGACAAGGTGGGAAACTGTCT